CCACCGCCACGAGACCACCACCACAAGACCACCACCACGAGACCACCACCACAAAACCACCACCACGAGACCACCACCACGACCACCAACACAACCACCCGCACGGACCCCCGCCACGGACCACCACCACGGACCAACCACCACGGACCACCACCACGGGACAAGCGCCCGGAACCACCACCACGGGACCACCACCACGAGACAACCACCATAGGACCACCACCACAGAACCACCACCACGAGACCACCACCGCGAACCACCGCCACGGACCACCGCCACCCGGCCACCACCATGGGACCACCACCACGGGACCACCACGACGGCCACCAGGGACCACCACCACCACCACCACCACGGACACCGCCACCACCACGACAGACCACCACTACCAAAGGAACACCACCACCACGGGATCACCACCACGCTGTGGGACCACCACGACGAACCCCACCGGACCACGGACCACCACCACGGGACCACCACCACGGGCATTCGGGAAAACCCCCCAAAACCCCAGCCTTTCAGCCTCAACCCCTCAGCACCCCAAAACCACCCACCCCCCACCACACCCGACAGAACCCAAACCATTACAGCAAAAAGCAAAAAACAAAACCCCCCCAAAACACGACAAAACTCCGGACACAAACCCTATACAATTTCTATTAAACCCCAAAACCCTACACCGTAAAGCGTAAAACCTTGAACCCGGGGGATCCCGAAAATTCCCGGAATTTAAATTCCTAGGATTTTCGAGAGCTGTTTCGAGAGCTGTTGCTTTTATATGATCGTGAGGCCGAACCCCCTTGAACAGCTGGCGGGCGGCGACCATCATCGGAACTACGCTGGACCAACAGATTTCCTTGAAGATTTCCTTGAAGGTGAAGGGGCACCCACGTCATCACTGTTGCGCTGGAACCTTAAATCCAACCCGGCAAGCCCAAACCTCAATCCGGACAATTCCTAAAATTTCGGGAATTTTCAGCTCCGGGTGATTCCCAAAATTCCCAGGATTTTTAGACAAAAAGTATTAAAATTCCCGGAATTTTCAGGATCCCCCTGCAAGGCCCTCACAAGCAGCCAAATGGACCGGAAGAGGAGGCGGGGCATCCGACGGGGCGGCCGCAGAGCGAAAATAGGGGTCGAGCCCATAGCCTTTTATAGGGATATATATATATATATATATATATACATATATTTTCTTATCATCGCTATTTAGAAATAAGTGAAGATATGAATTTATAAAATGAAATGAAGTTTCTGGGGGGATATCGGAAATTTTCGATAATTTTCGATGTCGGATGGATTTCTAAGAATTTTCTTAAAGGATCTTGAAAATTATCGGAAATTTTCAAATAAGGCCTCATAAATAATATAAAAAAAACAATGGGTAAGATATAAATCTATTGCAAGACGGAAAAATATGTTATATGAGAACATTATTATATTTATATATTTGTCCCATTTATTTTTCTGGAAGAATTAATCGATATTATCCCACTTGGGGTATCAATAGGTTTAATGAATTTTCTTATATCTTTTTATTTAGGGCTGGGAAATATGATAGAATAAGTGCGGTAAATAAAATAAATGATATTACTAAATTCCCCTCTTAATAAATATATTAAAGATCGTAGTATATTCACTACAATTAAGTCTATTTAATTTTGGATTGGTTCTTCGGTTACACATTCTATTTCTTAATTACTATTTGTGGGAGCAGACGTCTCCTATACCGAAATTAAGACCTAGCAATTCCCATAGGAAGCAGAACAAACGAACGCAAAATACATAAATCTTTTCAGAATCTCATCTCTATAGATCAATTTGCAATTGAAATAAATATCATAGAATAAAAGGAATTCTTGTCGTCCATTAAGAATGATTTTAAAATAAAATCATCGTTGTGAAATCATAAAATTACAAATATTTTCTAAATTTCTCCTTTATTCTTTCGAGAAAAAAAGAAATTAACATTGATTTTTTCTTGTATGTTATCGTATATTATATCCCATTATTTTCCAATTCTTATTTCGTGATAAACTCTTCTCAATTGTGATTATTTCCTCACTTGTGACTATAAAATCTTCGTACTTCTGACTTTTTTAAGCTCACTTACGACTATAAGTTCTAAAAAAGAAGCTCCCTCTTGAAAGGGATCAAAAAACTCACTTGCGTCTATTTTTTTGGGGGGTGGCTCACAAGTGATTGTTTTGTAGTCACAAGTGGGTCTTGATTTTGGAGAAATAATTACAAGTGAGCGGGGGGCGTTGTCCAGTAACAAGGGTGCAAAGACCTGCTGCTCAACAACAACGAAGTGTGGTGGGGTGGGCCACGTGCTGCCCAACAATAGGGGGGTGGAAACGACGTGCTTCTCGCGGGGTGTGGGGTGGGGGGGATATTCCTCATAAACTCATTTGTCCTGAAAGTAAAATATAACCCATAAATGCTATTTTAGTTCTTCCAAAATGAAGCATTACAAAAGAAAATCCATAAGGTATTTCTCCATTTAAAAAAAGAAAAAAGAAAAATATACTAAAATAATCTCTAATATATAATGTAGATCTAAGAAGATTCCTATAATAATTCTTAATAAAATAATCATTCAAAATAACAACCAATATTCCAAAAAGAATTTATAATCAAAAGACAAGGATATAATTATAAATGAGATTTCATTAATAATATAAAATATATTGTATTCATTTTGTTCCTATACTTCGTTCACGAGTTTACGCACTAATATTAATATAATTCTGCGCTTATTTCATTCATTAATAACCGTATTAATTTTCTGCGTTCACTCTAAGCGCATTATTATTAGTATTAAAGGGGGCATTATAAGAAAGATAGAGAGCCTCCGTAATAATATACTGAGTGAATACATGAACTTTATGCTTTAACTTCACGAATCATCCTCACTTTTGGTTGTTTCGTTCATAATGTTCTTTGTGCCGTGCTTTCCCCTATTGTGCCCCCGTTGGCCCGCTTGGCGTACCCCTGGCGGTGAGGGAGAACACACGCTTGGCCGAAGTCTGCCAGCACGCCTGACCCGTCTCCAGAGATCAGCAGATTTTGACTTTTGAAATCGCAGTGAAGGAGCTGCAAGCGGTGTACGTGGCTCAAACCATCGACGCAATGTGACAAAACCTGTAGACGGTGTCGCCAGGTGAAACCCGCGTCGCTCCGCATCCTTGCAAATAGATCTCCTCCAGCACAGAAGTCAAGAATAATGTATCCAGGTCCTGGCCCCCTGATTCCAGGGCCCAGCCAAGCATGCGAACAACATGCGGATGCTTGATGCACCGCAAGGCTTCGTGCTCTTGCTTGAAGTTGTCGTGAGACCGGAACTCCTTGACTACGCAGTCGCTCGCCTTCCACAGCTTGGCCTCACCACCCGAGGCAAGCGAGCACGCTGTTTGGAGCATGTCGGTGACATGGTTAACGCACCATCGCAGCGGGTCTTCGGAAAGCTTGTCCACCGAAGGCTTTGAGCATGTGGAATCTCGGAAGAGATCATCCCACCATGTCTTCAGGGCTTTGAAAGTTTTTGATGCAGAGTGAGAAAAGTCGTGCGTGTTAGTGCTAGTAGAGTCGGGTAAGAGTCCTCGCTATTTGCAGCTCTGGCGCTCTGTAGCGCTGCCTTGCTTGCAGATTAAGGCAAGTAGCCAGTGTGAGGATAGGAGGATTGAACTAATGCAGTTGTCAAGGCGTTTTGCGATTTACTGCTCCAGCTTTCCCAGCCACAAGCCAGAAACATCATGAGCATCAGCCTGACATTTTTGCGAGCAGTAGTGTGTTCATGTCTCGTTGCTTCGTCATCGTTTGAAATTCGAGTCCAAAGCCAAGTCTATCGGAAAGCTACAACAATGCAATCAAAAGCATATGGCCCCAAGCAAGTTCAGCAGCCAAACGACACGCGCGAACAAGGATAATCCGACAGGACCCTTTTTGAAGCAATGGTACTTCATCAGTTGGTGCAGATGGCCACTTGGCCCGTGATCTGGGCTCACCGCAGCCATGGGTGCAATTAGTCTACAAGACCCTGGCAACGCTTTATGCTTTCCTGGAAATGAATGAAAGCAAGATGCCATCGTCAATTGACTGCTGCTGCAATCCTCCCCTAAAGACTAAACCCTACGCCCTAAACCCTCAATCCTCAACCCTAATTAAAACTCAATCCCGCGTTTGAACAGCCCAAATCAGTTTGGGGTTTAGGGTTTAGGGTTTAGGGTTTAGGGTTTAGGCTTTAGGGTTTAGGGCTTGCTGCGGTGTTCCGTGGTGCCGGGCCATCCGCCCCATGCGTCAGCGGCGTGCCTGGGCACCCTGCAAGCCCAAGCTCCCAGGAAGCACAAGACCCCCGGTACTCGACGCAACGTGCCTAAGCCTAAACCCTAAACCCTAAACCCTAAACCCCAAAGCCTAAACCCCTGTCAATTTTTTCGGCTTAAGCTCCGAAATCCTGTGAGCCCTGGATCACGGAACCCTTCGGCCCTTCAGCCCCTCAACCCTTAAAGCCCCGAAACCTCTTCAGTCTCGTAAATGGGGCCTTGTCCGATCTTAAGGGGCCGCGAATATCGATCGATGCATCTACTGACACAAAAACACCCTCGAATTTCGGAACGCCCTCTTGAACCAAGAGGCCCTTCTCCCTGACGTCACCGCAACGAACTTAAAAGAAGACACAATCCCAATAGTTAGGGCACACTTCTCTCACTTATCGGGATTTGAGGGTTTTGTAGATTTCTGACCGCAAAACTCCATACTGCAGGGTGAGCCACGTGCGCCGGAACAAGCGCCCTGAAATAGGAAGCTCCTTATATGCTGGTCCTTGGGGGTCCCCCCCCCCCCCCCCCAGTGCGTTTTTGGGCGGGCCAAGTAGAGATGAACTTGATCTGGGCAGGCCATGCGTGACACTCTCAGGTTGGGGCGTGTCCTACCAACCATCCCCGACGAAAGACTCTTTCGTCGGGGATACACGAAAGTCGCCGAACCCGGGTTGGGAGCCCTAAACCCTAAACCCAAAACCCAAAACCCTAAACCCTAAACCCTAATCTTGTTCTCGGACTCCGAAACCTTCAAGCACAACGTGGAGTTGCGGTACATTGGGGGTTGCGTTTTGGACGTCCTAGGAATTATCATAAGGGGATGCGGGGGATCCCTTGGGACCAATCATCACGTGGATTTCAAGTTTGTTTCCTTGATAGCCGGGGTGGGGGCGTTGGGGCTTTAGTCACTTTTTTGTATATATTGGTTGCTGATGTTGTTGTAGTGGTGTAGCAGTTCGTAGTCTGTAGTCAGTGGTCAGTAGTTAGTAGGTAGTCGTTAGTAGTTGCTAGTTAGTTGGTAAGTGGCAGTTGGCATTTGGCAATTGGCAGTTGGCAATTAGTAGCGGTAGCACTTGCAGTAGGAGTAGGGGACAAGTAGGAGAAGCAGTAGTAGCAGTAGTAGCAGTAGTAGCAGTAGTAGCAGGAGAAGGAGGAGGAGGAGGAGGAGGAGGAGGAGGAGGAGGAGGAGGAGGAGGAGGAGGAGGAGGAGGCGCAGGTCTCGCTTTTGGCGTTCGTCCGCTAGATCGTGTGTATTTGATTTTTGTTCATGGTTTCGTGCTAAATGCACATGTCACGAGGGCTTTTCGTGCAGCATCACGATTTGCGGCATTTGGGGTTCAATCTTGGTTCATCTTTTAGGAAAAGGCCACCGTGGCGGCAAACAAACACATGTATGCCAACAGAAGGAACCAACACTGCCAAAAGAAACGGCGGCAACAAACAGCAATGGACTCCGGCTACACAGCAGTCTGACACCACTCTATGCAGTAGTGCAAGCCACAAACCCTAAACCCTAAACCCCAAACCCCAAACCCTAAACTTTGGATTTTTTATCTCAAGGGCCAAAGCATCTTTGGTGATGCAGCAGGGCAGGTGCCGTCGCTGGGAGGAGTACACGCTGGCTGCTCAGCATCGAAGCGGTGATTCACCTCCCAGAGCATGGCTCCAAGCGCCCAGGAAACAGGCTCCAGCCGGGCTGAATGGAACTCAATCTGCGTAGCTTGCATGTCGAAGCCAAGGCCGTGGTTCAGGAGCACGACAATGTACGTCGCGCTGAAGCAAAGCGACCGAAGGAACCCCTCGGAGGGGTGACTCCAGCGAACCTGCAAGGTGGACCACTCCATCTTGCACAAGTACTTGGCTGCATTCTCCACGTCCAGCAGGGTTGTCTCATTAGAGGGCAACGCCAGAGCCTCAATAACCCAGGTGAAGGTGGAGAAGGCAAGAAAGGGGCGGTTGCCGAGGCGAGGCTGGTAGCGACCGCCGAAGGTACATGGGGGCGTGAAGCACGTGGTCCGCTTGTCGAAGAGGTCCTTTATTCTATCGGCACAACGGTCGTAGTCACCAGCCCCCCACCAGTGCGCCTGCAGAGGGGGGTCACCTGCTGCTTGCTCCTCACCCATGATCAGGACCTCTGTGAAGTTCAGCCCGCGGAAGAAACACGGATGACGCAGTTCATGCACAGTTTCCCGAATCAGCGAGTGCGCAATGACTTGCTGCTGCAACAAGCGCTGAGCCTCCTGCACCCCAAACTGTAAGTGAGACGCAGAGTAGAGATTGACTTTGCTGCCCCGCAAGACAATCGGAAATGAGTGCTGGAGCACCTGGCTTCCGTTGGATGGCACGAAGGTCACCTGCATTGATGCACCCCCCAGGTCTAGAACACCCAGGGAATCTTGCACTGGGCTGTCAAGCTTCTCCCGCTGAGCGTTGATGGCTAGCCATGCATAGGCACCCTCTTCCTCCCCACTGAGGATATGCAAGAAGTCCTGGCGGAAGCGGAAAGGCCAAGCCTCAAGCACTTGCTGCAACGCATCGAGTATGCTGTCTCGGTGCTCTGGCCGCTTCCGCCGAATGCCGGCCGTAGCCATCAGGTGAATCGGGAACCGGTGCCAGTCAGCCTCTCGCGCTGCCAGCTTTGCCTTGGCAAATTCCAGCAGCGGCTCCAGCACCGCCCTTAATGTCTCGGGATCCGTGGATGCGATGCCTGGCGTCACGTTTTCGCTGTCGATCTTCCTTGGGATGATCAGCGGTGGTGGCCCCTGCGGCGCACAGCTCGCCGGCTCCCACTCGAAGATGTGCAGCCTCGACCCGCTGGAGCCTGCATCGATCCTTGGCTGACTTCTGAACCCCCTTCCTAAAAGTTTTTAACTTTTGGTCTCCTTCTTGTAGTTTCTACAGAAACCCAAAAAAGTTTTAAGTCCCAAGAGCTAGCCAGAAGAAAGCCCAGAATCAGCAGGCCAACATAGGGCTCCCCCGCGCCGGCTCCGGCAAGAGTCACAGCAAGGCCGCTGAGCAGCAGGGGCAGTGCTTGCGCAGAGAGAGACATCTGCATCATTGCATCATGGCTGCTCCAAAGGATTTCAAGCAAGCTATTCCGTGGAGACTACTCTGAGCTCTACATCTCTTCCGCTTGTAAGCCAGACGTCTTTCCGGCTGCCACCTATATGTCATACACACAACCGGGGCGCTGGTTGCCTGAACACCGCACCTTCTCCATGAACGTGGAGGCTAGCACATGCAGCATGACAGACTCTTCTGGTAAGGAAATGTCTCCATTCTCTTCTCCACTTCCTCACAGTTTCACTGAACAGCGCAATGCTTGCCTAGCTGATTGTAGCGCAAAAAAATTCCCGGACAATTAAGTTGGGGCCCAAAGTGACTGTAAGCTTGCTCAGGGGTTTCCCTAGAACCTTGACCTCAACCCTTGAACACACACCTCCCACCCCGCAACAAAAGAAGACACATATGAACTCAACAATGAATAGCGACCGAGGTGCCAACTGCTGTCTCGATGTTCGAGCCTCCTACCCGATCCTCTCCGTGGCTCCCTATCCGGGTAGCTCTCTAAATTCGGGTCCCTTTTTGGGGGGTCCGCAATATAAGGGTGCCGCATCGAGACACTTGCCCAACTGAGTGCCCTAGGGATCCTGAATTCATCGGGGGTTCCTAGGCTTCTGCCTTTTTGTTCCCATGCTTCCCTGGGCGCCCGTGCTTGCTTACTTGTGATGTCGGCTGCTCATTTTGCAGTTCAACGCTCATGGAGCCGAAAATGTTCGGAGCGGTGCTAGGCCCGAAGCCCTAAACCCTAAACCCTAAACCCTCAACCCTAACCCCAAACCCTAAACCCTAACCCGAAACCCTAAACCAGTGATGCCTGGGAACCCTTCCGCTGAGACATAAGATGCAAACAAATACACTACTACACAGAGACTCCAAAACCCCTTAATTAAGGAGTATACCTTAAATCATATTAGGGTTCCGACTATAATTTAAGGTATATTCCTTAATTAAGGGGTTTTGGAGTCTCTGGGTACACTACTAAGTCGCGCTCACAGGACTCCGGACTTGCTGGGCATGTAAGGGTTTAGGGTTTAGGGTTTAGGGTTTAGGGTTTAGGGTTTAGGGTTTAGGGTTTAGGGTTTAGGGTTTAGGGTTTAGGGTTTAGCGTTTACTGTAGGGGTTTAGGGGTTTAGGGGTTTAGGGGTTTAGGGGTTTAGGGGTTTAGGGGTTTAGGGGTTTAGGGGTTTAGGGGTTTAGGGGTTTAGGGTCCTGCACACGCTGTGGGAGCCGCTTTGTCCGTCGCACAAGGCGCCAGCACGAAGAGGATGGGCCAGCTGGCTTTGACTTAAGTCAACTCTCAGCTTCCACGAACTCTCCTCCCTAAACCCTAAACCCTGAACCCCAACCCCCAAACCCCAAACCCTAAACCCTGAACCGTGAACCCTAAACCCTAAACCAAAAAAAAACCGTAAACCCCAATCAATGTGTTTGCAGTGTTGTGTTTTTTTGCTGTTGAGCCACGTAGAAGAACAGCCAAAAGAGGCAACAAGTGGATCTGGATCGCTTCTGAATATGACATACCATCTCCTTGCTATCTTGCCGAAAGGCACGCAATTCATACCAACGTATGCTTCAAAATGAGATAGGTATCCAAGCACACAAGCTTTCTTCTGCACCTCGTGCGCTGCCCTGGGGCGGGGTCAAGCCAACGCTCCTTTCGAAGCTGGCTTGGTGGCATTATCTTCTTCCGAGGCACTGTGAACACAGGGGGTGACTTCATGAAGCTGCAATTAGCGGATGCCCAAAGAAAGGTCCAGGATCTAGGTGCCCCTCATGCTGGAAAACCCTAAACCCTAGACCCTAAACCCTAAACACATCTGCATCTTGGGCTTCAGAATCGGAGCAAAAAACCTGCTCATGACGCTGCCTCGTGCCTCCGAACTTCCGGATCTTGCGGCTAGTTCGATGGACATGGAACGGTAAAGCGATGAAACGGTCGTAAACCTGAGGAAGCCCACAGATCTAAAAACGTGCTTCGGTTAGGAAGCGCCATGAAATCAAAGTCCAAGCCTGCATCGGCCTGGCGTTGGGCTTTCGGCTTCGGGTTTGTAGGATCTTCGCGTTTTGCAACTTGGGGGTTTACGAATAAAAGGGACCCCCCATGTAGATCCCCAAATAGTAGAGTCCCCTTATGATAAGGACCCCCAAGAAGCACCCCCAATTTCGGAAACCCCGACTTGGTAACAAGCACGGTTTAGGGTTTAGGGTTTAGGGTTTAGGGTTTAGGGTTTAGGGTCTCCTGGCCCCATTTGGGAGCTCTTCATCATAGGTGCGCCGTATTCACAGACATTGAGAACTGCCTTTAAACCTAAAGCCCCCCGAACTTTCCACCCCCCCCCCCCTCCCCCGTTCCGAAAAAAGATACCCTAAACCCTAAACCCTGAACCCTAAACCTAAACCCTGAACCCTAAACCCTTGCCTTCACGACCCCACACAGGGATCCCGGAAGCCCAAATCGCGACCTGGCAGAAGGAGAGGTTCCCTAAACCCTAAACCCTAAACTCTAAACCCGGCGGTTTGGGCACTCTGGGGTTTGAAATTTTCCGATAGTGAGTGCTTTCGGCTCCCTGAGGTGTGATCATGGTGGTTTAGGGTTTAGGGCTTAGGGTTTAGGATACCCCCGCTGTGCTGTGTCTTAAGATTGTTTGGGATTCGAAGCAGCCTTCGCATGTCCCCAGGATAAGAAAGGAGATACTCAAAGTCACCTTAACTCAACTTCAACCATAACCACAGGCCCTAACTCCCAGACGCTATAGTGCTATGCGCCAGGGTTGGCACCCTGTATGATGTCATCCACGACGTCGATGAAGCCTGCACAGAGTACCGGATTCGAGCTGCTGCAACTTTTATGCTCTTCTCGCTGGCACCGTGAACTATGAATTTATACATCCCCCCAACCACACCCCGGACCATGCACCCTGGAGTTGAAGCATCGTATCATCGCAGCTATCCTTGGAGTCGTGCGTGGGATGTAGTATACTTCGTGTATACTGAGAATTAGTGTTTTTACACGTACGCATAAAACCACCATACTTCCAATAACTCCGACAAGCGGCCCGTCACGGACATCACGGCCACCTTGGTGGGAAACAGCCATGATTCGAGCCGAATTCAGGGAAACCCAAACCCCTCAACCCAACAAACGCAAAATGCTCAAGGTCAGAGATCAATGTGGGATTGCTACAACTTAGGGCATCTCTATGACTCTATGAACTTGAACGTATCTTCCTTATAGCTTAGGGATGCTTAGGGTGCCCAAGCAGGCCCTAACTTAGAGCAACATATATGGGGGGGTGTACTTTGGAGCCGCGAGATGGCAAGGGCAGGCCCACTGTGCTTAGGCATTGATACCGATAGCGTAAGTGGTGACCGAAGGTTTTGGATCTTCCTTTGCATCCTGTGTGTGTGGAAAGGGGGGTGTGAGGCTCTGGGGGGCTGTGGGGTGTGAGGCGTGCGGGGTGTGGGGTGTGTGGGATGCGTGGAGGATGTGTGGGGTGTCTGTGGAGGGTGTGTGGGGGTGTGGGGTGTGTGGTATGGGGGTTGTGGGGGGTGTTGGAGGGTGTGGGGTGTGGGTATGGGGGTTGGGGGGTGTGGGGTGTGGGGCGTGTGGGGTGTGTGGGGTGGGTGTGTGTGTGGGGGGTGTGTGTGGGGGTGTGGGGAGTGTGGGGTGGTGGGGGCGTGTGGGAAGGTGTGGGGTGTCGGGGTGTGCGGTGGGGGGGGGGGGGGTGTGGGAGTCCGGGTGCCGGGTGTGGGGGTGGTGTGGGTGGTGTGGGGGGGTGGTGGGTGTGGGGTGGTGTGGGTGCGGGGTGGTATGGTTGTGGGGTGGTATGGGGCGTGGAGAGGGGAGGGTTTAGGATTTCGGGTTGAGGGTTGCGCGGCCGCAGTCTCAGGCGTCGACGGAGGTGGCGATAATGCCGCCCAGGATGAACATGATGACCTGAACTTCGAGGTGCTTGGGTTGAGGCACGCAGTGTGGGACTCTAGCCTAGTATAAAGCCCTGAGTTTCCCAAAGTATAACCCTTCTAGGGGGCGACACACGCTATCAGCCGTCTAACCCGTATGAGACTTATAAAGCGCCTAGTTGAAACCCTGAGCCCTTGAAGCCACAAAGCCCTAAACCCTAAACCTCCAAAGGCACTAAACCCCCCACCATCCCGACCTGAACCTGAGCCGTCAACCCCTGCACCCTTAAACCCTCAACCCTCCCAAGCCCTAAACCCTAAACCCTAAACCCTAAACCCTAAACCCTACACCCTAGACCCTAGACCCTAGACCCTACACCCTTAACCCCAAATCCCAAGCCCTAAAACCCAAGCCCCGAGTGACAGCCACATCCGCGGGCTGCGGCTGCCACACTTCCTGGCTGGTTCCTCATAGGGAATGAGGGCACGAGGTACCTTATAGAATCCCTTAAAAGGGTATACATAATACATATATATATATATATATAAATAAATATAAATATAAATTTATATATATATATATACATATATATATATTTATTTATTTATTTGTTTATATAAGGATATGAGGGACCTAATTGCCTCATTCCCCTTTAAGCAGTGGACATTTGGACTCCAAGGGGCCGATGGTCGGCGAGTGCGCTTCACCACCCAGCCAATCACTGCCTTGCCAACCACAGCCTGGGTGTTAAGGGGCTTAGGGTCTAGGGTTCTAGGGTTCTAGGGTTCTGGGGTTCTAGGGTTCTAGGGTTCCATGTTCTAGAGTTCTAGGGTTCTTAGGAGGGTTTAGGGCTTCGAAAGCTTTAGGGTTTCTAGGCGTCGGACGAATTTGGGTTCATTTCTGCTTCTGTGAGCTTCTCAAAAACCGGTTGCATGGCAGGGGCGGAGGGCTTCATGGCTTTACGAGCTCAGGGCTCCTGGTTTAGGGTGTCAAGGGTTTAGGGTTTAGGGTTTAGGGTTTAGGGTTTAGGGTGTCAAGGGCCTGAGGGCTTCCTAGGGGATCGGGCCAAAGGTTCGAGGCTTGGGGGCGTATACCTTCCTGGTACACGCACGCCTCAAAGCCAAGCAGCCAGAGAGTGAAGACGTTCACTTATGCCCAAGCCGTAAAGGTGCATAATATACATAATATATATATATAGATATGTATATATATATATAGACACATTCTATTCTATTCTACTCTATTCTATTCTCACCTATTCCTACTACATTTAGATGATACTATCTTATATATATATATATACATACGTACATATATACATATAATCTACAGTATGGTTGCCTTGTTTGCCTTTTTGCGGAACCTTTTGCAATACGTAACTTCGTTGAACTTGGTTCTCGAGGATATCCAACAAACCCCTCAGGTGATCTAAGCCCCTAACTCTAACTCCTAACCCCTAACCCCTAAACCCTAAACCCCAAACCCTGAACCCAATCTTCCGTCCCAGGCCCCAAGTCCTACTGGTGGGGGGGGGAGGTTCTCAAAGCTCTCAGGGCCGAACTCCCATGGCGGTAGCGAGGCCCAGGAACAATGAGTAGTCTATAGGCGCGGTGCCTGCACTTGGGGTTTAGGGTTTAGGGTTTAGGGTTTGGGGGGGCTGCAGGCGGAGAGTTAATTCAGGGCCTCTGGACTGTGCAAATTCATGTCCATGTGTCTCTCCACTCAGACCGCTTCGAAGACCTGATGGTGCATTGTCCGAGGCTGTTGTTGCTTACCTTGCCCCAAAAGGAAAGCAGAGGAAAGCAACACAAAACCAACACTGAGCAGCAATCAAAACATGTCGACCCCTCTGCACGTTGGGACTTCTTTCTCGAAACCCTAAACCCTAAACCCCAAACCCACAACCCAAAACCCTAAACCCTACTGCTCCAAGGAGGTGAGGTAGCTGTGTCGGCGCACCTGCCCCCACCACCACACGTGGACAGTATTCTCGAGTGTTCGACAGCCACAAGTATACATGAAACTACCACATCTGGAGATTGTGGCGTTCCGTGCATGTAAAAGGAATTTCCGCACTTCTCTAGATGCTTTCGGCGAAGTCATCACAGAGTGTCACACCGTGCTAGCACGCACACTGTTAACAGCACGCGCCACTTCTTATGCCCACAAACTGCCCTCAGGGCCTTGCACCAAAAAGGCGATCGTGGTCGATGTGGACATGACAAACAGGGTCGTGGCCTCGGAAATCGTGCCATGTGAGGCCACGATCAAGAACACTTCCCCGAAGAGTCCGGAATAGGCTGGTTTAGACGTAAGGGTTTCATTGGGGTTCGGGTTGAGATAAGCCGGAGACAACGGAGACATGTATGTATATCTGTAAACATAAGTATAAGTAAATACATAATCACTAATTAGTATATATATATATTATTTATATACATATACATATACATACACATACACATACACATGTACATACAGCTGTGTTCAGGCCGAAAAACAGGAAGCATCTTTTGCTAGTCCGAATCTCGTCACGTGTCAAGTTGCTGTGCCATCCGGACCAGTCCAGAACTTCAGCCACTCAGAACCCTGCGTAAGAGTAGACCCTGGAAAAAAGCAGCTATAATAGGAACCCAAAACCAAACAACGCATTAAAGTATAGTACTCCAAAACCCAGAGAAAAGAGCTGCATTTGGGCGCATCTGGCCCTGCCAACTCAGAGCAGCTCAAAATGCAGCTCCCATGCGGAGGATCTGGAGGAGGGGCGGGGGAAGTCGAAGAAAACGAAAACTGGGACCTTAAACCCTAAACCCTACACCCTAAACCCTAAACCCTAAACCCTACACCCCAAACCCTACCTGATCTTTCTAAACCCTCTGAGTCCCCTGCTGTAGTTGCACTCTGGACCTGCGCACAGAAAGCCAGGGACTGCTTCCAACTTCCTTTTCAACCCTAAACCCTAAACCCTAAACCCGAAACCCGAAACCCGAATCCCTAAACCCTAAACCCTAAACCCTAAACCCTAATTCCCAAACCCAAACCCTTTCTGGCCTTAAAGCCTGAACGGTAAGGGAAGTGACATGGTCCGTTGAAGAAGGTCAGGGACCATATTTATGGACCATGTAACTTCCCTTAGATGAACACACACTGCAAACCCCAGGGTTCAGTGTTCCCACACCTCCTTAGGGATTGGCCCCCCTAAACCCTAAACCCTAGACCCTAGATCCTAAACCCTAAACCCTAAGCCCTAAGCCCTAAGCCCTAAACCCCAAACCCTAAACCCTAAACCCTAAACCCTGAACCCTAAATCCTAAACCCTAAACCCTGAACCCTAAACCCTAATCAGAGCTCGCGCTTCGTGCCCTGGCCTGTGGCAGGCAACCCAAGTCCAAGAGTTTGGGGCCTGGCACCGGAACAAGGGGCAGTTGGGTTTAGGGTTTAGGGTTTAGGGTTTTTAGGGTTTAGGGTTTAGGGTTTAGGGTTTAGGGTTTAGGGTTTAGGGTTTAGGGTTTAGGGTTTAGGGTTTAGGATTCGGGCACCGGAACAGGGGGGGGGGGGGTAGTATAGAGGAAGTAGGGGAAACCAGGAAGATACAGATACTTAGGAGTCAACGGATTGGATGCACATGCTGTCACATGCTAACCCTAAACCCTAAACCCTAAACCCCAAACCCTAAACCCCTAACCCTAAACCCCTGATAACTTCGAGGCTGCGCCCATGATCATGCCGCCGCCGATGCCGCATAGGGCTGCCAGCGTGCCAGCCTAAGCACACTTCTTTTTGCAGGGTCTACTTGGAGGTTCAGGGTACTTGGTAAACCCATTATAAGTGCACTGCCTGTATAACCCGCACATAAGCCCCTTAAGGACCCTAATAGGGGTATATTTGGGTGAAAAGTACAGCTATGATTGGGTTACTAAGTACGATTGAACCTCCAAATAGGGGGCACAGGTGCCGAACTGCATGATACACTATGCAAAACAGCTTGCGACTGTTAGACACCAAAGCCTGTTGCTTGACATGGAAGGACGATTAACCTCAACCCTAAACCCTAAACCCTAAAGCCTAAACCCTAAACCCTAAACCCTAAAACAACAGGGACCCCTTAAGTTCTGTGTGGATCTACCTAAGGATGAATCACATGACTTAACGCAGCCGATGTGGCCCGTCACCCCTCCTCGGCCCCCGGCGAAAAGCGACCAAACAGACACGTATATGGCAGTCCGCGACCTGAATCCGCGGTTAGCTTAGGGCGACATTCCGGAGTGAATTGCGACTTCAGGTTAAAATAGGTGTAGGGTTTAGGTAGGGTTTAGGGTTTGGGGTTTCGGGTTTAGGGTGTGGGGTTTAATTAGGGTTTAGGGTTTAAGGTTTACGGTTTAGGGTTTACGTTTTAGGGTTTACAATCAATTTGTATTTAAAAATGCAATATCTCCATCAATAAATGGGAAATGCCCCATGCGACTGGGCCCTCTGCGTCCATTGAATGGCATCCTCCACTTGAGGTGGGCGGCCAGCATGAACTGCAGGGGGGGGGGGTTTAGGATTTGGGGTTTAGGATTTAGGGTTTCGGGTTTAGGGTTTAGGGCTTAGGTCTTAGGGTTTAGGGTTTTAGGGGGGGGGGGGGGGGGCAAGTCTCAAAGCCGCAGCAGCGACCCCCCAAAGCGTTGTGTGTAAGCATGGCGTATGCCAAATGCACGGCAACACAAATGGAAGATGGACAGTTCTCGACGGCTCGCCTTAGTTAGATCTTGGGTGAAGATTGTGGTGCTTGGCTCGCAACTGGGGTCAGTTAGAATTCAACAGCCGTGTCCAACCAACAAACGGGTCAAGCAGATGCAATGCACCATTGAGATTGTGCTCATGGCATTATCTCTGCACCGATCGGCATAGTTTGAAACAGTAGTTGTAGATTCGTGACCGTAGCCATGCCTGTCTACCGCTTCAGCTAGCCTTCGCAGGACCCATGCGCCCCAACAGCTCGAGCCCTGCTAGAATTCCCTCTCTACACTTCAAGCCCGACAATCCCCCCAAGCCTCAAGTGGTGGGTTCTCATTTTTGTTGCTTCAAACCCTAAACCCTAAACCCTAAATCCTAAACCCTAAACCCTGAACCTTTAAACCTTTAAACCCTAAACCCTGAACCCTCAACCCTAAACCCTAAACCCCTTAAGCGCCTCTTTCCGCCTCCATGCGGAGGGCATTGGCGGAGGAGGAGATGCTGAGGATTACGAGCTGTGCAGCCGTGGCCAGGGCGATGACCCAGTACCTAAGAGCGCCGAGCGTGCTTTCGGTGCTGTTTGGTTTCGGGTTTAGGGTTTAGGTTTAGGGTTGAAGGCTTAAGGTTTAGGGTTTAGGGTTTAGGGTTTAGGGCTTAGGGTTTAGGGTTAGGGTTTAGGGCGCATACAACCATTTCAAAAAAACCCTGGATCTCATAAACCCCCTGTCTGCAAACCAGCGGCATGCTCGAGCACACATCCACAATGCCCGGGGCGGCGTGTCCACCACGGAAGAGGATGGAGCAAACAAGCACCGCCCACATGAGGAGGAAGCCTGCAGAGGGGCTCCATCTCTGTAAAGACATGTTTTGCATGAAACCCTAAACCCTAAAACCCTAAACCCTAAACCCTCAACCCTCAACCCTAAACCCTAAACCCTAAACCTGGGAAAGCCACAGTTTCATGCGCACTCTGATCCCGGCCTATGAGCTTGCCCCGTGGGTACTGAGGTTCCGCGAGCTGACTCTGGGTGCTCTGTGCGGTGTCCAGCGAAGGCTCGCGGGTCATCTGCTTCACTTGACCTGCTTAGAGGCAGGGGCCCTTCGAAAGTGCATGAGTAGGCTACGGTGGAACTTTGTGTTAAGAAATTTTATGAAGCAAGAAATTAGACTCTCGAATTGAGAAAAATAATTATATTCAGAGTCTGAATCGCAACCCAAACGTAATTACAAATTGAATGGCCTTTTTGCAAGGCTCCAGCCCTCCAGCCCCCCTCCAGCCCTCCAGCCCTCCAGCCCTCCAGCCCTCCAGCCCTCCAACCCTCCAGCCCTCCAGCCCTCCAGCCCTCCAGCCCTCCAGCCCTCCAGCTTTCCAGCCCTCCAGCCCTCCAGCCCTCCAGCCCTCCAGGATTAAGCCCTCCAGCCCTCCAGCCCTCCAGCCCTCCAGCCCTTAAGCCCTCCAGCCCTGCAGGATTAAGCCCTCCAGCCCTCCAGCCCTCCAGCCCAGGGCTGGAGGGCTGGAGGGCTTAATCCTGCAGGGCTGGAGGGCTGGAGGGCTTAATCCTGGAGGGCTTAATCCTGGAGGGCTTAATCCTGGAGGGCTTAATCCTGGAGGGCTTAATCCTGGAGGGCTTAATCCTGGAGGGCTTAATCCTGGAGGGCTTAATCCTGGAGGGCTTAATCCTGGAGGGCTTAATCCTGGAGGGCTTAATCCTGGAGGGCTGGAGGGCTGGAGGGCTGGAGGGCTGGAGGGCTGGAGGGCTGGAGGGCACCTGACCAACCCTTTGCTTTCTCCGCCCTCCAGCCCTCAGCCCTCCAGCCCTCCAGCCCCCAGCCCTCCAGCCCTCCAGGATTAGCCCTCCAGCCCTCCAGCCCTCCAGCCCTCCAGCCCTCCAGCCCTCCAGCCCTGCCCTCCAGCCCTCCAGCCCTCCAGCCCTCCAGCCCTCCCTCCAGGATTAAGCCCTCCAGCCCTCCAGCCCTCCAGCCCTCTTGGAGAGCTGGAGGGCTGGAGAGCTGGAGGGCTGCAGGGCTGGAGGGCTGGAGGGCTGGAGGGCTTGGAGGGCTGGAGGGCTGGAGGGCTGGAGGGCTGGAGGGCTGGAGGGCTGGAGGGCTGGAGGGCTGGAGGGCTGGAGGGCTGGAGGGCTGGAGGGCTGGAGAAAGCAAAGGGTTGGTCAGGTTGAATAAGAAATGTTTTCAAGACTCTCGCCTCAAATCTACCTTTCTTAATACATCTGCCTGGTTAAGAAATGTCCCAGACTCTGGTGGACCTTCGAACCTTTCTTATCATAAGTTTTGACCGTACGTCTAACATAACGGACACAACGCCTCGCAAAAAGTGCCCCTGAAGTCCCCCGAGTTGTGGCAATCAGCTCGAGGAGATCAGGCGTGGGCCCTGGGGATTCCAGTTCTTTAGGATGGGGGGGAGCTTAGAGCTTCTGCATGGCGAGTCCTTTGCTACAGTTCCCGGCCCGCGAACGAAGCAAACAACAGCCACTGCCAAGATGAGCTGCAGATTCTCACTAACCCTAGCCGCCCCTGTGAGCTCTCTCAAGCGGTTTCAAACCCCAAGCCCTAAACCCTAAACCCCAAACCCCAAACCCTAAACCCCAAACCCCAAATCCCTAAACCGTAAACCCTAAACCCTAAACCCTAAACCCCAAACCCTAAACCCTAAACCCTAAACCCCAAGGCTCGGCCTTCGGGGTCCTCAGCGGAGTTGGCCTGCAGCTCGAGCTTGATCTGTCCTAGGTCTTCGAGCCCAGGGAATCGAGGGTTTAGGGTTTAGGGTTTATAGGGTTTATAGGGTTAGGGTTTATAGGGTTTAGAGGGTTTAGAGGGTTTAGAGGGTTTAGAGGGTTTAGAGGGTTTAGAGGGTTTAGAGGGTTTAGGGTTTAGGGTTTAGGGTTTAGGGTTCGGGTTTAGGGTTTAGGGGTGAAAGTTGGCCCTATCACCCCAAGCGCCGTCGGTGTGAATCCCGAGGCCTCGCCCCGAAACTGCGAGGAAGAGCCCGGCCCTAGAGAGGGTTTAGGGTTTAGGGTTTAGGGTTTAGGGTTTAGGGTTTAGGGTTTAGGGTTTAGGGTTTGTCCCAAACACGTCACAACACCAGAGACCCGGGCCATTGAGGGTTTCCTAAACCCTAAACTCTAAACCCGAAACCCTAAACCCTAAACCCATCTAGGGTCTACTTTACGGGTACATAGTACTGGTAGGGTTATGGATTTCTAACCCCTACTTCCAACTATGTGCCGATGAGAGTCCTAAACGTCCTAAACCCACAACCCAGCCTAAAAATCCACAACCCTCCACCCTGAACCCTACAAACCCCACACGCCTGAACCCCCTAAACCCTAAACTAAGCCCTAGACCCTAAACCATCAATCCTGAACCCTAAACCTGAACCGTGGAACCCTCAAGCAGGGCCCAGTATTCATAAGGCCTACGGCAACCCTAAAAAGGGGTCGGAATACTTACTAACAGTATTCCTCTTGGGTCCCTTGCAAATATACTACACTAACCCCCAAAACCCTATTCTAGTCACAAGGCCCCGATAATACGCCATTGGAGACCCTGAAGCTTTTAACACCCTAAACCCTAAACCCTAAACCCTAAACCCCTAGACCCGAAACTCAACTCTAAGCTCTGCCGGTTCGTGTTGGCAAGTGTTGGTGGGGGTCGAGGGTATACGCTGGGATGTTACCCCTTAGACTAAGAGTCCTTAATGGGTTTAGGGTTTAGGGTTTAGGGTTTAGGGTTTAGGGTTTAGGGTTTGGGGTTTAGGGTTTAGGGTTTAGGGTTTAGGGTTTAGGGAATCTAGTACCCCCGGTTATAACCCCTCTTAAGGACTGTCAGTACCCCCTGCGGAACATCCCAAGGTATAGGGCTCCAGGGCTCAGCGTCGGTTCCGGGGCTCAGAGTTGAAGTCATGGCTTGGCAGCTGGGTTTAGGGTTTAGGGTTTAGGGTTTAGGGTTTAGGGTTTAGGGTTTAGGGTTTAGGGTTTAGGGTTTAGGGTTTAGGGTTTAGGGTTTAGGGTTTAGGGTTCATGGTTGCAACGAGGGTGGTAAGCAGGGTGGCCAGAAGTTGTAACGAAGGATACCTTCAACCTGCATTTGTAGATACAAGCCCTACTTCTAACCGCCCATGACCCTCTACTATACTCAGAACCTTAATAAAAACAATATTTTAAACATCCTCTTGGGTTTCATATAAACAAAAATCAAAAAAACAATTCCCAAGGGGGATATAGTTTAAGCAGAGTGCCTGCGTCTAGCTCGGTGCGGTGGCCAAGCACAGCCGCTGGAGCGGCAGAAGCTGATGGGTCCTAGAGGCAGTCTTAGAGGGGTGCTGGGGCTCGAAAAGGAATGCGTTTCAGGGTGCATGGTCTAGAAGGCTTCGGGGCTTGAGGTGTAGGGTTTTCAGGGTGCAGTGGGTTTATATACACATACATTTTATTTATTTCTCGGGGGGGGGGGGGGTGGGGGGGGGGGGGTTGGGGCTTAGTTCGTTGAATTGGTTTAGATATGATCTACTCAAACCAGAAGAGGCTGCTCAGAGCATGGTCTGCGCAACGAAGCTGTTGAGTTCCTCGAACTCGGCATAGCGCTTGCTCAGCCCAAGCAACCTCGGAATGGAACAAGGCTGGAGGGTTTAGGGTTTAGGGTTTAGGGTTTAGGGTTTAGGGTTTAGGGTTTAGGGTTTAGGGTTTAGGGTTTAGGGTTTAGGGTTTAGGGTTTAGGGCTTAGGTGGATGTCTGGCGCCAGACACATACGGCGTTGCTGCATTGAGGACAGGTCTTGTCTGCTACAGTACATGTCACTGATGTCACTGCCGTGCTGAAGCGTGCTAGTACCATGGATCACCTGAATGCAAGTCTTCAGAGAGCACTTCTCGGTCCTACCTCATTGGAGCTGCGCCCCGCAAAAGCAAGGATCGCACACAATAGGGATTCGGATTTAGGGTTTAGGGTTTAGGGTTTAGGGTTTAGGGTTTAGGGTTTTAGGTTTTAGGTTTTAGGGTTTGTCATAGCACAAGGGTGCGCACGTGGCTTCCGAGGAACTATTTATTGCCCAGGCGCCGAGCCTCTACAGCCAGCCTAAAGTCAGCCAAAAAGTTACCCTAAACCCTAAACCCTAAACCCCGAACCCTAAACCCTGAACCCTGAACCCTGAACCCTGAACCCTGAACCCTGAACCCTAAACCCTAAACCCTAAACCCTAAACCCTAAACCCTAAACCCTAAACCCTAAACCCCATGCAAGGTGTGCTGAGTCGCTTGAGGCATCGCTCGATGGGATTCTTGGAGAGCCGGGCATCACCTTGGCATCTGAGCCCCCTAAGCAGGAAACACAGGATGGCCAACCCCATGCCAGGGTTTAGGGTTTGCGGTTTAGGGTTTAGGGTTTGGGGTTTGGGGTTTAGGGTTTAGGGTTTAGGGATGATTAGGGTTTAGGGTTTAGGGTTTCGGGTTTACGACAAGGCCCCCACACACCTGCACTTAACCCGCAATCCTCGTCACCGAAGGTGGGTCACGTCCTACGGACCCTACAAGTAAGCTGCAGGCTCCCAGTCCCTCGTCCTCACCCTGAACCTCCAAGTAGAGCCCTGAACCATCGGGCCCCCTGGCTGTTCGGCTTCAGCCCACGCACTTCGCCGGCTCGCTCCTTCCGCAGCGTCTCCAAAGCCTCTCCGGGTAGGAGGGTTGTAGGGCAGAGTGGAGCCATGAAGGGGATCTTTTCATTACTTTTGGCCAACTCTTGGGGGCAAACCGAACAGTAGGGCAATAAACATGGCCAAGAACTCAACAGGCTTTAGCCAATACTGCGTGCACGTCAGATTCGTGCTGATGCTGCTGCCCACCCCACTGTTTGCGGGAGTGACCGTGTAAGGAAACCTGAACTTGAAGTCTTCGATGGTCTTGGATGAAGGGAACCCGGTAGTGGTATACAGGACAACTTGCCAACAGAAAGAAGAAAACAAACGACCCCCATCCTCCACCCCATCACAACCTTCGGGTCTGCAAATGCACCCTAAACCCTTAACCCTAAACCCTAAACCCTACAAACCGCCTTCTTGAAAGTCTTGAAGGCTGATTGGCAAAGGATGGTCACCAGCATCGCCAGTATCAGCCAGGAGGGCAGCGCGAAGTTTAAAAAGCTGCCCACCTCTGCCGCGCTGCTGGGATCCTAAACCCTAAACCCTAAACGTAGGACTCTGCGGTATCAGCCCTTGCTTGACAAGGGCTATGGGCTTTGACTGGCTTTCTGATTTCTAGGACCGTGGCGGTCGTGAAAAAGTCAGGTTTAGGGTTTAGGGTTTAGGGTTTAGGGTTTAGGGTTTAGAGTTTAGGGTTTAGGGCTTAGGGTTTAGGGTTTCCTGTTTAGGGTTTAGGGTTGTTTTGTTCTATGTAGCCCTCAGCAGCAGCGTAACTGTAAACATGGCCGACATACTGCCAGGCACTTGCGCGTCGACGCGTGGCCGCGCTGGAGCGTTCCAAGGACCCGTAAGTGGCCGTTCGCAGGGAGTTTGTCATGAAAGGCCCTCCCATTATGAACCCTGCACCCTCAACCCTAAACCCTAAACCCCAAACCCTAAACCCTAAACCCTAAACCCTAAACCCTAAACCCTAAACCCTAAACCCTATACAAACCTGCCAAGAAGCCATGGCTCCCACGAGCAAGTTCGGCCCCATGATGAGCCTGGTCGCCGGGGGTTTGCTGTTGGAGCAGAGCCCACATCTTCTGCAGGGGGCGCATGCAGGCAATCATGAACCTCCCTGAAGCCATAAACCCTAAACCCTAAACCTAAATCCCAAACCCTAAACCCTGAACCCTAAACCCTAAAACCCAAACCCTAAACCCTAAACCGGAGACTTGCTATCCTGAGCTGCGCTCCCAAAACGCCCTTCTGCAGGCAAAGTAGCACGAGGTCGTAGTCGATCATGGGCTTTTGGCCGGATGGGTGCCGCTGCCGCAGATTGTAAATCAAAGCGCTTGCAGCACCTCTCATGGCGTTGCTTGGGTTGTTTTTGTAGCATTGTATTAGGTATGGTACTTTATTGTAGTCTTATAGTCTTCTAGCATTCTAATCATACACCATTAGAGTACTACATTAGTACAGTAAGTATATTCTTCGTCGCTATGTCTCCTTGGATTTCCAAGAGAACCCAGGATGGCCATTCAGCTTAGGGTTTAGGGTTTAGGGTTTTGAAAAGTACTCCTCAATATGACCCTCCTAAGCCCAATAAGTGAAAAAGATGCAATGTCCCTGAACTTACTTCTCCAATCACCAAAGGGGAAAAAAGGGTTAAACCTTGTGATTCCTACTAAATAAGGAAACCCAGAAATGGCTAAAGTTCAGCTGTTGGAGAAGTAAGTTAAGGGCCTTCCTAGGAGGGCTTTGTGGCGCAAAGCTCGCAGTCGAAGGACATTCGTCTCTACAGCTAAGGCTATACTGAACTTGGAACCCTAGCGAAAATTATGCTTGTAGCTGTTTCTTAGGGATTATAAAGTACCCCAAAATTAAAAAAAAAGTCTTCCCAAGAATCTCTATGGCGGAGGTTCAAGTCGTGCCTCCGGCCAGGCATGGTTGCGAGAGCGCCGTGGCTTCATGGACCTGAAAGCCTCGCGGGTACCCGACATATAATACAGGGTTTAGGGGTTGGGGTTTAGGGTTTAGGGAGAACACGAATCCTATCATATGAGAATACATACTACGATAGTTGGATAATACTAGAATGAATATGATACTACAAAATTAGTACTACCATAAGGACAGCACTGGAAGGTTCATGGGTAGTTTGATGTAGCTGTAAGTAGTAGGTTGAATTGGCATGAATCATAGTCCCGAGCAAGGCCGTACGCAGGTATAACTCGAGCTATCCTACTGATAAGCCGTGTCATCACTGCCCATGACCGTCCAAGTATGCGTCAGATGGTGGATGCTTATGCCTATCTCCCATCACCCAAACTACACATTGGCAAACAACGGCACGCATCTCTGGTGAAACCATGGATTATTTGCTAATTTCCATTGCTACAGAATGTTGGGCTCTACTGTAGCATCTTCCCGCGTATCCTTCCTGTAGTTCAGGGTACCAAGAATGCCCCTAAACCTAAAACCTAAACCCTAAATCCTAAACCCTAAACCCTGCGTGATCTGGCCTGAGCTCTACAGAACCACAGGGACCATGACCAGTCCCCAGGGAGAGATGCGTGTTCCAACCCCAAGCCTCCAAGCCGTTTCAGGCCCTACAACCCTGCAAATCCTACAGTCCTACAAACCCTACAAACCCTAAACCCTAACTAAACCGTCCATCCCAACTCCACATCCCCCGCCCCCCCCGGTCGTAGTTCAGTTTCGGCACCCAGGATGATCATCAGCAGTGGCACGTAGAGCCCGCCCCCGCCAATCCCAGCGCTGAGGGCGAGGCCTCAGGGCTTTTTCAGGGCTTCTTTGAATATCATATGTATATATATATATATATATACATATGCATATATAGATATACATGTATATATATATATATTATACATATTACCCTTTCTAATGATAGAATACCAAAAATAGTATATGTATATACATATATATATATATGTATTACCCTTTCTAATGATAGAATACCATAATGGTATAGTTTGGTAACATAGTACAATAGGACTATAAGACTCGAATAAAATAGGATACGAAAAGACAAAAAAAGTGCGAGAATAATGTAATACGGTACTCCTCTCCCTCCCTGAAGTACCATCCCCCTCAATAGCGGTCTACGAGTGGGTCCCCTACTGCGGGAAAAGCAGCTATGTAGTTGAGCGATCTAGGGTTTTGGCATTGGGGTTGGAAGCTTTTGGCAGGAGGTTGGCGTTGAGCGATTTAGGCCCCATGGGCCGGAAACACCTTATAACTAGGACTACCCTTAAAACCCTCTGAAAAGCATTCCTGAATATGACCCTTTTAAACCCAATAAGGGAAAATGGAAAATGTCATAAGCAGAAATCCAGGGAACAGGGACTGGGGGCACGGGCCGGGCTTTTGCCTAGAGAACTTGGAAACATCCCAAGAAGAGCTCTGGCGTTGAGGGGGGCTTAGGGTTTAGGGTTTACTCGGCGCTATCTCTGAGTCTGAGCAACTGAGCACGACGTCACTGTGAACCAGCACATCATCGGGACCATCCCCCAGCAGTATTGGAACTACAGGGCGGCATCCCAGTTCACCAGCCGATCCGACAGGACATCCAAAGGAAAGGTTGAGATTTCAATGATCGTTTTCTGCTTCCACAAGTTTGGCAAACGTCGAAGGGCATTCGCCAGGAACTCTTCCCGGCCCTGCCACACCACTCGAGCATGTAGCCAGTCACCAGGCACACGCAACAGCATGACTTGTCAATTTCGCGGTGGGGCCCAATGAATTTTGCGAGAACCCAGCAATGCTCGTAAGGTCACTGACGAACAACCTGGACAACGTCCAGGTTATTCAGCCAAAAACAGCCTCAGAAACACCAAAATTTCCGATTTTCAGGAAAAATCCTGAAATGCGCCTAAAACACCAAAACAGCCCGAAATACGCCATTTTTTCGGAAACTTTGGGGACCCAGTCAATTCCCACAAAGCCCAAAAAAAACAAGAAACCCAGGAAAATCGCGGAGAATCGCGGGGAACCGCGGGCGGGTCTGCGAAGATGAAAAACCACTCAAAAGTGTTCGCGGGCATTTCGCGGGCCTGTCTGCGTAGATCAAGAACCACTCAGAAGCGTTCGCAGGGCATTTCGCGGAGAATCGCGGAGAATCGAGGGGAATCGCGGGGGTCCCGGAAATCGGATTTTTGCAAATTTCGCAAAAAATTGACTCTCAAGAGATTTTCGTGAAAATCGGAAAAAAACTGCGTTTTGAGGATTTAGCGTTTGTCTTCGAGAGATTGCGCAAAAAATACAGAAATTTGGCCAAGTAGCGGCGGTTTAGAGTTTCGGGTTTAGGATCCTCATCGGACCTGCGAGAAAGCCCCCGTTGTAACGCGCTGTTTCTCATGTCTGGATCTGCAAGCACTAGAGGGCCCAGCACCACCGTGCCCTTCAAACTCTTCGACTTATGCTTGTGGATGTTGCATTCTGGCAGAGCCAGACAATTCATGTTTCTTCCACCCAAAACAAAAACCCTAACTTGCACCGTGAAAATAACTAAGCATGACATCTAGCGCATGCCACAGGTCAACAACCGCGCTCTCCAATACTAGGCACGACGTTCCGCACCATCCACGCACACTCTCAAGCCAAACCAACTGCATGCTGCCCTCACGCACCCATGGACATATGCCTTAGCACACTTCGAAGCAGATTGTTAGCGAACTCATTTAAGATCCGCTGGGATGTCCATCGCAGTGTTCTGGACGCCACTCTTCAAGACGATGTTGGCAGATCGAATGCACTTCGCATCACCACATCCATGGCCACATGAAACATGTGGCAAACATGCCCAGCTCTTTGAAGCGCAGCAGGCAGATTTGGGTTGGTTGGGCAGGGGACACGAACACAGGCCTCCTCTCCCATTGTGCAAGCGGCCAAGAAAGTTGCCAGTGAAATTAACTCATCTAGCCCATCCACTTCTAGCAGGATATTGGATGCCTCCAGATTGAGCGCCAAGCTGCATTGTTCACAGCCAGTCTGGCCCCATCCCTGCGTAAGATGCTTTTTCGGCAGAAAAGCACTCTGATGTCAGGTTGTCCAAACTGTTCGCCAAAGGCCCTCACATCCTTCAGTGTGCACAGGTGAAAGGCCGAAATTGCCAGCGGAGCAGTTCCATCCAGCCGAGAGCCTGTGAACTCGTTTTTGAACATGCTGTGGAATCGAGTCGTCAGCCAATTTGTCTGAACGGCATTTGCTTCTGGAGGCTCGACACTCTCTGTGAAAGCAGACAAAATGTCGTTCCGCCAGTCAGTCTTTTTCAAAGCCGCTTTGTGCTTGGTCACCGTTTGTGACTCAAATTCCATAGCTGGAAGGCTTATGACTGGCTCGAGCCCGGCAGAGACCATTTCTCTCATGGCACCGCGTTGACTGGAACCATGCCTGTGTAGAATACAGGAGAATGGCTTTTGCTGGTGAAGTAGCCGCTGTCCCAGGTATCCACGACTGCTTCAATCTTGCTACTCTGAACAATGGAGAGCACACCAGCCCAATCTGAATGGAAGCCAACAATGCCAGTTCTAGGGTTAAGGGTTTAGGGTTTAGGGTCTTGTGCTTAGGGTCTAGGGAGTCGGGTTCCCATGATTTGGAGTTGAGTCTGAGAGCCGGCTGGGTGAAAAGTGCGGAAGTCCTCAGAGTCCTGCGAAACCAAAACCGAGAAGCCTGAAAACTTAAACAGAAGCCTACACGCCCACTGTATACCTAACCGCCGAGTCTTCCCTGGGCTCACTATATACGGTTCCGTTGTTTGACAGAAAGAGCTCCAAATAATGAGGCGAAGCCCTAAGCCCTCAACCCCCCTAAACCCTGCACCCTAAACCCTCAACCCTATGAACTATAAACCCCTAAAACACTATAAACCCTATAAACCCTATAAACTCCATAAACCCCACAAACCCTATAAACCCTCTAAACCCTCTAAACCCTCTAAACCCTCAAGAAATTTTCAGGTCCGAAAGGCCGCTGATGAGGAAGAAGAGGAAGGCTGCGCCGAAATCGGCTCCCACGGGATGACCTTAGGGCTACGAGGCAAAGTTTCTATGTGCCCTGAACCCTGAACCCTGAAACCCTAAACCCCAAACCCTAAAACCCTAAACCCTAAAGCCCAAAACCCTGAACCCTAAACCCTACACCCTAACCCTAAACTTAGAGCAGCATTTCAAATCCCAAATTACACAACACCGTAAACCCTTAAAGCCCTAAAATCTCAAAACGCTGACGCCAACTTATCTCCACAAACCCTAAACCCTAAACCCTAAACCCTAAACCCT